CTCAAAAAACAAAAGCCTTTTGATGGCGCTAAAGCTCACTAATAAGTTATATTCAGTTTGTTTATACTGTACACAAACAGAAATGTTAAAGTGAGAATTTGTGGTTGTAAAGAGAGTTACATCCTTTAACTTTTTTCTGATTAACATTAATTTGTCTTCCTTTCTCACTGGACAGCTTTTTCAACTTTTGGCATGTAACTCCAAGTGAAACCACAAATTTTCACATTTCTGTTTGTGTGTGGATTAAAATAACGAGATACAGTGTGGTAACTAGTAAACTTTGGAAGTGTTTGTGGTTGTACTTTTGAGCTTTGGACAGATAAGTTGGGGTAAGCTAAGCTAATCGCCTCTAGCCTCAAGCTCATACATGTACACACACAGACATCAGAGTAGTATTAATCATCTAACTCCTGGCAAGTAAACAAGCATTTTCCAAAGCTGACAAATTATTCCTTTTAAAATATTTTCAAAATTGCCACCTCTGAGCCTCAATCAAACTTGAGGAAAAGTGCAAAGATCAGTGAAAGTTCCAGTTAATCATCTTGTCACACCCCAGATCTATTTTGTGACCCATTGGGAACACAAAACTATGGTTGGGAACCGACACTTTAACACATGCCAAAGTTATTCTCATTAAGAAACAAATTCTACTTCTACCTCACTGACGGTAGAGACTGGCTCCAGTGCTGCCTGAACAACACTAAACTGCAGTGCAGCTTGTGGCCGGTGGAATCTTGGCAGTGTGAAGCCGACTGTCTCAGACTCTTGGCTCTTTGCAGCAGCATGTGTCCCTGTTCACCCCTGTGAGTCCTGGCTGCCTGCGAGACCTTCTCCTCCCACACTGAGATGAACAAACGTTATCCACACTGACAAAAGTGTGACGCGGGCCAAATACCGAGGGAATAGAAAAGTGTGTTGGTAACGAAGTGTCAGCTGCTTTTTACGTCTACATTAGTGGCTGTCAGAGTGGGGTTTGACCCTTTTTTGAGGGGCCTCTGTGGTGCTCTAAATTAGCTGAATTCCTTTGTTTTTTATTAAATTTGCCACCAGATAAGCTTGTAGGGATCAGTTGTGTTATTTGGTTAGAAGCTGTGTGGTTTAATGCAGATGTGTAGACTTGTAAGCCCTTAAGTCCCCCTCCACTCAAAAAATGTGTTTTGTTTATTGTTATTTCATTTGAACGTTTGACCTTCACCGTGCAGAAGGATGTTTGTGCAGAGTTTGACACTAGAAAGGCTGTTTTCACATTCATCAGCTGAAAGTTTTGTCTTCGCTCATCTGGGAATGTCTGGACATACGAGCATGGATTTGTGATATCAGAACTCACAAAAGTGTGATGTGGAAACCTCCAGTGCACAAAAACCTAAAATGAAGTGAAGTAAGAGACAGTTAAACTTTTAAGGTGAAAAATATTTGCACATTCATAGATTATGGACTGAGGCATATATGATATGATTTAAAATATTTTAACAAGGTAAAAACCATACTGCCACAGATGTGATTTATTATTCCTAACAGAATCTCTAAAAAACATACCTAGAGAGGAAATTTCTTTTTGATTCTCATTTTCTGAGGTTTATTATGTCACTTGGTTTCTGAGGAGTTACGTGAACTTATTCTAGTACATTAATTGATTGATAAATTGAGCTTGAGTTTCATTATTGACCTTGGAAATAGTAGTTTCACAAAAGAAACAGGAAAAGTAAGTGGACCGCGTGCTCAGATTTTGATGTCAAACTAGTTTAAGTTGTTTTGTTTTTTTTTGGAAAAGGTGAATCACTCCTGTGACCTGCATTATGTTGAATATATCTGTCAGTGTGGTTGGTGAATTAAGACTGGTGTAGAAGTACTGTGTTGTAAATTACCTTATTGTTTTGAATACAAACTCACCTGTCACCAAGTTTAACAGTCCAAACCAGTGACAGACTTGGCACTGAACATGATGATAGGCTGACTACACTATTGTTTTGCCACATGAAGGTTTGTAGTTTGCTTTTGACACATGCATTAAGTCCTGTCTGGTAAATCTATCAGGAATCCAATCATGCATTTTCACAGATTAATTTATTCCTTCTCATATTCCTCTCATACTTCTGTTGGTTCTGAAGTGAAAGGAATTTGCTTTCATTGAAATACTAAAATGAAAGCTCCCATAGCCCTATGCATCCAGGGGCCATGTGACAAGATGTCTGCTTGATTTCACTTTTTTCTTTTTAAGAAGTTGTTTTAATCAAAAATACAAGAGGCTTACTAGTCCCAGCTCCTGACTGTGAACAGAAAAAATGAGAACTCCCTGTTCCAGATTAAAGCTCGTTTAGCTCGAGGCAAACTGGCAGCACAATTTCACTCCTGCAGACTCGTATTTCCATGCTTACTTAATCTGCAGCCCGATAAGAGTGCTCTTGACTTTGGTTTCAGTTCGGAAAACCTTGAAATCCGAGCAACATGTTGTAAGTAGCATTGGCCTTGTCCCTCTGCAAGAAGCTCTGCCCGTGTCTTTAGCAGATGATGTTTATGTTCATTTGCCATGTCTTATCTGCTGCTCTCCAGGCCTCACAGAGCTCATTGTGTTTGTTGTGACATGCAAAGTGATCTGTTGGTTGCTGTGGCTGCCAACAATCTTTAACTATAGACAGTGAAGTATGGGCAGTGTGTTCCTCGTCACTGTGGCTCTTCAGAGTTACTGACTCATTCCATTCATGGCTAATGCCAAAGTTTTATGAATGTGTTTTTGTTTGGTGATGATACAGTTTATGTGGAAACACTCCACAAAGCATCTTCAGACTCGGCTTCAGTTCTCTGGTGTCAAACCAAACCAAAAGAGTAGCATTTTGTGTCATATTAGCTTTGTTGCTGCTCCCATCCCTCAGGTGAAGTTGTGTTCTTGCTTGTTACAGTAACATTTATTTTTTTCGGCATCTGTCAACTAAAAATAAAAGAACAGATGTTAAGTGTGAATTTGGGAGACTTTTTCTAGTGTTAACACCTTAAAATTGGCACTTCAGAGCACTGCCTGAATCTGACACCGCATATGTCATCTTGTATTAATAATGCATAAGAAATGCGTCAAAACACCCATCTAGCCTTGTACTTCACAAGCTGACTTATCATAAAACTCCAAAGGTTTTAAGAAAAGACCCCAGCATCAGCAAATTTGGCACTAATGTATTGTTGCAACTTCTAAAGTTTTATTTTTAATGCTGTTTTTCTCCCTTTTTTTTAATTTGCTTTTTGAGTTAATGTTTTTAATACATTTGTTTGTGATGTCAACACCCTCTAGGGTTTTTCCTTTTAAATGCTATAAATTCTATATATCAGTGTACTTCAAAGTATCGGCTTAAGTTGAAAACATGACACATATTTATGGTATTTTAATAATTTGTTTGGACACATAATTTATCTTTCACGGTTGTGGGTGTTTTTTAAGCTTTATTTATTTAGGGAGGTTTCACCGAGTGCAGTGCTCTCCTTTTACAGCATGGTCCTGCTCATACACAAAAGAGTTTTACAGATTTATATACACACACACCTGGAAACAGCCACAGTCGGATCTGTTGGCACAGTCTCAGCAGCTCAACTGGAGCAGTTGCGGGTTAAAAGCTCCACCAGCTTTATCTAATACTTTACTTTACTGAAGTAATAGACTTCAGCACAGCACAAACACAGAGAGTGGAGTTGGAGTCTGGCAATGTGATACTACCTTCAGTTTGACATTATTGCTTCTGTCTCATTTATCATCTGACCAACCTCTCACAGCTCACACTTCTGATGCACCAACACCCATAATTCACTTTTAATTCATAGAGATTGTCCTGGGACTACAAATGAAAGCTCAGACCTTTTTGATGTGGATCCAGACTGAGCCCAGGCGTGGTCATATTTTCAGAGCAAAGACTTTTTCTGTATCATTTATATTTTGACAATACAGAATCATTCAATGACCCATTGACTTGTCAGCACTGTCAGACCTACAGTATACTGAACGGCTATACAAATGTGTGCTTACTAGCAGCTACTTTACAAATAATTCAGATACTCTAGGCATTATAGTTTAAACCTTAACCCTGTCTTCAACTGACCTTGATAATGTCAGTATTATACTGGCATGCAGCCCACAACCACAGTCTGACTCCTCCATATGTATATCCAGTCGGTAAAATCCTCAAATGATTCTCAAAGCTGACCCCTTCCTGTCACTTCTATAATGACCAGGGAGCCTGAACTGGGCCACTGGACCAGGCCCCATTGGGCAGAGACAGGGATTACGAACTCTGTTCTCTTGTTTCCATCAGCCATGCCCAGTTCTCTTGTACACAGCCAGTTATTGTCATGGTAGCAGCGGCAGGCTGGGGACACTGGCTCCATTATTGTGACTCTGGTTTCTACGCAGTGGACACACAAGGGAGGATCTAGATACACAAAGGACTGTTTCACTCTGTTCTACCAAACTGAGTTGATTTGTACTGTGCTGCTGGTCTATTTACACCCCATTATTGTTGATGGTTAACCTGTCAGGAAGAAGGGAGTGATTTTACCTGCAATGTATCTGGTTTTATCTGGTTTGATAGTATACAAGCACTATTTATACACATAAGATTAAAACTGCAATAAAAAAGGAATACTGACTTATACCATAGGTCAAGTATCTATAGTATAACATATACACTGTATATTGTGTGAGTGGTGATACTAAGGATCCACTTTGTCGACACAAATGGAAACAGCGTTTTTGCACTTTTTAAATCCCAGCAATCAATTTGCGTCTTCCTCAGATTTTGCAAATTGAGTTTCTGTCGATCTTTGTCTTTACATTGTGCTCTCCAAAATGGTGGCTATTTAAGGTCATGTTACCTGTAAGGAGCAGTGTATTTCATGTATAGAATACATTTTTGTGGCCCACCAATAAAGATCTGTCCCCTTCCAAACAGAATTTTGTATTTATTTCCTCTTATTTCATTCTGATTGTAAAAATGAATTCCCTATTTTTGAATTATCTCCTGATTGCAGTGGTGTTTTGCAGTGGCCTCTCAAGTGTCTCAGAAATTGAAGTGTCACTCTAGTGCATGTCTCCAACCCAAGAGTCAACCACCACTAAAAAAAGTACCTGACCTGTGTGAATTTATTTATTTGTATTTCTTCACACAAAGAGAAATCATCAATTTATTATATATTTTTTCATTAGCATGAAAAGCCTTTATACTTTGGTGACAATGTATATAAACCACAACAACTTTATTAGGTGATTTATAGGTATTGTTGTTATCATTGTTATCAAGTATTGTGTTCTTAACTTGAAACCTCCAAAATCTTTGGTTCTACAACGTATGAGAAAGCATAATTACTGATTACTTTGCAGCTGTTCTTGCATAAAAATAAATTTTTATGTAAGGTTTAATTGCAATTAAATATATGGTTATAATGTGTTCAGTTGTAAGTAATATTCCTCTGGTCTCTTACTGTAGGTGGTGAAGATCCTAGAAAAGCATGATCCCCTGCGCAGCAACTCCACCCTGCCCTCCCTAAGTGTCATCAACCTCAGCGCTGGCTCTAGCGGCGGCCCTCGTTTCGGCCCCATCCCTGGAGACGAGGCGAGCGCAGTGCAGAACTATGTGGAACACATGCTCTTCCTGCTAATGGAGGAGGAGAGCGGTCAGGCCGGTGCCATGGGCCCCATCCTGGAGTTTGTGGTGATGGAGAACGTGATGGAGCGACTCTTCGTGTGGAGCCTCCGCAGGGAGTTCACAGACGACATGAAGCTGGAGCAGCTGAAGATGTATGAGATGCTGGTGGGCCAGGCGCACCAGCCTCTGCTGCATCACAAACCCATCCTGCGGCCGCTCATGATGCTGCTGTCGTCCTGTTCTGGCACCGCAGCACCACAAGTCGAAGCCGAGCTGGTGCTGCTGCTCAACCAGCTGTGCTGCGTTCTGGCAAAGGACCCTTCAATTCTGGAGCTGTTTTTCCACACCAGTGAGGATCAGGGAGCCACAAACTTCCTCATCTTCTCTCTGCTCATCCCTTTCATCCACAGGGAGGGCACAGTGGGCCAGCAAGCCAGAGATGCACTGCTGCTCATTATGTCGTTGTCCGCTGAGAATGAGCGAGTGGCCAAACACGTGGCAGAAAATACCTTCTTCTGTCCGGTCAGTCTCAAATGAGGGATTATTGTTCCTTGTTTCTCTTTCTCTTGCTCTCTTTTGCTTCTGTTTTTTGGTATCTGAGAATTTCCCCAGACTTTTATTTTCCTAACTAATTCAACCTTTTTGTATGAGGAGTTGTTCTCTCTTATTCTCTCACAGCGACTCTAAAATCCCAGACTTTTTCTATGACCCTGGGTGGGATAATCAGGCCAAAATATGCAAATTAATTCATGAAGCCACTTCAAGCAAGGTTAAAACATCTCTGGCACTGAATGTCACAAATGTCTGGCATTCAGAAGATTGTGGCACGGTTGCAAACTAATCCCATGTAAATAATGCCATTTATCCGCAGCTGCAGACATCGCAATGAAAAATAGCTTTTGATGCGATGCCAATTTAACTGCATTCTGAATTTAATTGGTTCCACTGGCGGGCTACAAGGATAATCCTATAGAGGATGTATACATCAGTGCAACACTAATGATGCACTCATCTTACAGTTAAATTAGACTGCAGTGCTACAGACTCTGTTGTTTGAAATCCTACCCTGTAAAAACTCCAGTCATATTGATAGTGACCATTTGTTATGTGGAAAGTCTGTTGACATTAATGTATTAATTAGTGACCTAATTACCATATCATGATGATTATGATGTGGAAGTTATGGGCAATAAAACTCTTTGCTGCTCAAATATTTATAGAGCTGACCTGTAGGAGACATAAATCCATATGCATGCTGTCTTTCTGTGTAAGGAGGAACAGGCGGGCTGATATGTAGGCTGCTGCAGTGCTCTGCTTACATCTGCATTACATTATCAAAAAATGCAAAAGAAATGATTTACAAAAGTATTTTGCATTGTAGTGAGCAGTAAAACACCGTTATAAATCTGTTGTGTGAAGCTGAAAGTAAAACCGACTGCCGAGATGGCGCGCATATATCATTTATGCCATACACTGCCTCACTAATGTTTAATGAGGCCCATAATATTCTCTCTGTAACTACTTTACGTCAGATTATTTTTCATTAGATTGTATATATCACATCATGCTAGGCACAGTGTGCTTTTTGACAGAACAGGTATAACATCTTACAGACCTAAATTGTTTTAGTGTAGTTTTGCTGTGGAGATTAGCGTTATAGAAAAATAGATAATAGTCTAATATAGTCGGGGGGGAAAAAAAGCTCTGCAGTTACAGTTAAATTTATAAAATGAAATGTTGAGCTAAATGCTAATCTCACCACGCTAACATGCTCACATATGACAGTGCTAACATGCTGATGTTTAGCAGGTATAATGTCCGCCATGTTCACCATCTAAGGTCAGTTAAGTTACTTTAAATCATCCTGTGGGGACCCAAATTGTACTGAATTTCATGGCATCATCTGTCTAATGGTTGTCAAGATATTTCACTCAAAACCTCTGAGGATTACCATAGTCATTACATTGTCTGTGAACCATGAATGTTTACGAAATTTTGTGCCTGTCTGTTTCGTAGATGTTGAAATATATTTTACAGGATTAGTGAAAATTTTAAGCTGACATTAAATAGTCTAATAGTCAATAATAAGACTGTAAGATCTTAATTTGTTGTTGACTCTGTCCCCTCAGGTTCTGGCCACAGGCCTGAGCGGCCTGTACTCATCACTGCCCACCAAGCTGGAGGTTCCCAGTGAGGAGTGGCACTGCCTTCACAGAGAGGACTGGCTCCAGATGCCGTCCCTCGTCCAGTTTCTCAACTCGTTGGAATTCTGCAATGCTGTTATTCAGGTGAAAACAGCGCTGCACACCAATGCTCTGTCACATGAAAAATTTATTCCCAAATGATAAATGGCTGCAGCCTTCTGCTTGACTGCACTCTTGACTGATATGTGCCTTAACATTGACTGTTCCCAGGTGGCCCACCCTGATATCAGACACCAGTTAGTTGGCTACATCTACAACGGATTCCTTGTGCCTGTCCTAGCACCAGCTCTCCATAAGGTTGGTACTTGTCTTCACCTCCATGCAATGCCTCATTTTAACAAGTATACAGTATATTCCAGTGGAAGTTGGTAATAAAGCATTGGTCATGTTCCTCAGTAATAAGGTTGAGCGAGTATTTGGCGAAAAACGAGTTTCTGGTACAAAAAATGTACTTTTTACAAATAGAATTATCACACGAGTAAAATGTCTGTAAAATAACTTAAAATTGTTTTGTTTGCCTTTAACTGCACAGAGCAGAGGAATTAGAGTATACAAATGAATACAGTAATAAATTAAACAGTGTACTATATACTCAAATTTGTACACAAATATCTGCAGAACATCCCAACATCTTGCTATGCACTGCAGAAACGGTCAACAGATTTTTCTCTGGCATAATGTTTGTGTTTGTTCTATAAGTTGACACCATACTCCTGTCCTCCCTTCCTCTTTGAAGCTCACCCTGGAGGAGGTGATGACCACCACCGCATACCTCGACCTCTTCCTGAGGAGTGTATCTGAGCCAGCCCTGCTGCAGACTTTCCTCTCCTTCATCCTCCTCCACCAACACGACAACGTCCAAATTTTAGATACCCTAGTCAGCCGCATCAACACCCCCTTCCAGGTACAGAAGCCTGAAGCCTGATCTACATGTCTTGTCTTGAAATCACACATTGCACTCAAACATGAGTCATGCTGTATTTAATAACTCCAGATAAACTACCCCAGAGGCACTTGGACCCATGGTGAAACTTTAAATGTCAGCACTGAAGCTTGCAGATTGTTGCCATGGTGATGCTCAGTTGCAGGGATATATCCTGTTAGTGAAGCACCGCATATGAGCATTTTAAAACAGCCCTATATGCTGGAACATCTTGTTCAAATGTTTAGGAACTAAATCATTAAGATGAATAAGTAATGCACTCTTTACATTGCTGTTTGACTGTGTAAACGGCTCAGGGAGTTCCCTCCTCCAGTGTTTGCCAACAGTCAACTTTGACACACCTGCAACTCAGTGAAAAATAAGAAACATGTTTGCTTTTCAAATTTTTGACATTTAGCCAAATTAAACATTGACTAACATGCAAATATTCCACATTTCAACCATTTTATTTTCCTTGCTTTTATCATTGATGTTTAATGGCTTCAGGAATTGGCACTTCTTAGGTAGTTGTGCTCTTGATGCTGTCAGGTTTTAGTGCCTTTGACTGAAGGAAAACCTTCTTTAGGCTAATCAGAGCAAAAGTGACTTTTACTTAGGATAAACTCTGCTGATTAGCTCTATTTTACACTCATTTCTGGCCATGCTAAATGGCTCTGTGGACGGTAATGTCCGTCTGTCAATCACCTTGTCAGACTACCACTTCGGTCCACAGTGTCGGAGCTAGAACAAATATCCAAGGGCGAGCACTAAATTACTGGCATGTGGCAACATAATCGTGCACAATGAAAGTGTCACAATTCAGTGGTACTCTAAAAGTCACAAATATAGTGAATTCTTGTCACTTTATTTCCTAATAATCTGAAAACACAAGGAAAAATCACTTAGGTGTAAATAAATGCAAGGACACACACATTTTATATTAACAGAAATGCATCCAAATGACAGAAAGCTGCATCCACACACAGTACAGGCTGGAGTACAGAGTACTCCAGCCAGTTCCTTCTCTGGTACCAGGCAGCAAGAAAACATCTCTTCTTACTCTCAAACAGGCTGATGGAGGAGTTGTGGAGACTGACCTCTTTAGGCCCATCTTCTCCAAATCATCTATCCTCTGTAGCATTAAGAAGAAGGCTAGTAGTAGCCAGTGGTGCTCCAACAAAACATAACTTATTGCTGTTGAGCCTTCAACCACTTTGTCAAATCTACGGCTGCGTATGCGAGGACAATATTCAGTTATCTTGGCTAACTCAAACTAACCTACACATGATGACAGATTTTTAGTTTTCAAAAATTCCTGCTCAACTTGTAAAACGTTATGTTACACAATTCTAGCCTTGCAATGAAAATGTTTTTATGCTATTTACTGGGCACAGTGATTGAATTCCAGACTGAAATATATCAGCAGTAGCATCAAAAGCAGCCATCCTCAGTCTCATTGTGTTTTTCTGTTCAACTCTCCAGTTAGGCACTGTGTCACTGGCACTTTTCCGCACTCTCATTGGCTTATACTGTGAAGATGTGATGCTGCAGCTCATATTGAGGTGAGTGGCACACATGCAGACTTATCCCAGTTATGAAGCATGGTACAGCTAATTGGTTTACGACATGATGAGCTTTTACTCTCTACCTCCCACCATGCAGACTTGTGTTACCATCTGTCGGTTCCCCCTCCTACGACCACCCGTTGGTTTCCTTAACAGGATCTGTTCCCATCTGCCTCCCCAGGTACCTGATCCCCTGTAATCACATGATGTTGAGTCAGAGACGTGTGGTGAGGGAGAGGGACTGCTACTCTGTGTCAGCAGCCAAGATCCTGGCATTAACGCCGTCCTGCTGCTCTCCAGATCACAGCCCCCCGCCCCTGCGACAGCTAGACTCCATCCTTTTTTCCAAGGGTGCAGAGACTCCCAGCAACCCCAGGGCCACAGGTAGGGGGGACAAGACATTAAAGGAACATTTTTCTGGTTTAAAACAGCTTGGATCTTATTTTTACAGTTTAGATATCATTTCAATGGGTTATGACAGCACTGTATTTGCCAAATTTGCTTAGATCTGGGAACAGGGAGACATTTCTATAATGAAGTCCAATGAGACAAGCACAGGGACAATCATACAGGTTGTTTAAAAGCCAGATTATCCAAACTGCTTTATTTGGAGGTAAAACAGACATTTTTCACAACCAAAATGTTGGTAACAATCCCGCATTGCCCAGGAAAACTGCTCACACAACTACTTAAACCAGGAAGTTGATCTTTAAACTGTGATGAAGGATTACAACCAACCTTTGTCTTCTCTTCCAAATAGGTTTGGCTAGCCTGTGTGTTCGTTTACAACCTGTCTAATTGTCTAATTGTGTTTCCTGCCCTGACGTCAGCAGTTATCTAGCAGTTACAGATGAGAATGATTGTTGATGATCGTAGCAGAAATCCGTAGGCAAGCAGGCTGACGTAGTGATTTGGACAAATGCACTTCAGCTCTGTGTCAGTAGGTATTCACACCTCTGAGGTGTCTTTGTGTATGGGACTGAGCCCCCGCCCCACCAGCTACATTAGACAGGAAAGCTAGTTTTAATCATGCTCTTTGACACTACTGAATACTTTTA